AATCACAATTATTTCTCAATGAATCTCTGAAATAATTCTTATAATTTTGGAACTCTAAAAAAAAATGTGCACAATAATTTCTTCCCCATCAGATGGAAAATTGCAGCGAAGGTCTTAATTTTTACGCTCTTCAATGACATATAGAGTTCTAAATGTTATTTTTTATTTGATTTTTGGACATTTGGAAGGACATATCTAACAACAGAAAAAACTTCACGTTAAGGTAATCTCTAAACTAACAGTCATTTTAATTTTTTTATTTTGCTGGGAAAAATGATCAAAATTTTAGATTTTTGGAAAGGAAAGTTATCACGGAAACATAATCTACAATTGACTGATCACTCTGAAACGGTTTTCACTTTAAATATGGCTAAAACTCAGCTACTTTAATGATTATTTTTCTTCAGTTATTGGGTCTCCAAAAAAATATAATACAATTAAGAGCGTCTTTCGTTTGCAGTTTATCCTCTTTATAAATCGCAATCATATATGTTCATTATATAGAAACAAGAAATAATCAATACCTTTGCAGAAAGTTCATTTTTCATCTTTTTGGTTGATTGTATAAATCTGGGATTTTAAAAAAAAATCTTGTTTCCGGAAACGAATCGTTCGCTGTTTTTTTTTTATGCGGAAAAATTGGTCCTTGATCGATTGATGAAGTTGAGCAACTTCAGCTAACCTTCAGAGATATTTTTGTCTAGTTTTGAATAGAGATTTTGCAATATTCTATTATTAAAAAGGTACATTCAAAAGATCGTCGGGCGCTTCGCAAAATTTAGACATTCGGGAAATCATGAATGGACGAGAAAACTTACACAATTTGGCGTCAATAATACAGAAAGACATTAAAATTGAGATTTCTACTCATACGAAATTGATTCGAAATTCTTTCGAATGGAGTAAACCATTTTTTTCTTCTCTTCGCTAAACCAGAGAGAAGCTCAACAACAATTTCAGCAAACAAGAATTTATACGATTAAAAAAAGTTAATTGTCCATGGAAATCAACCATTTTTCAGCAAATAGATCGTGTTTAATTTTATTTATTTTGTTGAGCAATCATTTTGAGTCGATACGGAGAATTATAATTGATTTTTTTGTTTAAATATGGGGAAGTGCTCGTGAGAAAATCTATAAATTCAATAAATTTAACGAACAAAAGCAGGAATTCATGTCGAGACTCATTTTTGTCATATTCAGTAGTCACAAAAGTTATAGAATTATCATTTTTTTCTTCAGGATGCAGAAGTTTTGTTGATTCAGAGGTAGTATTTATTCGATAATTCGAGATTTTCCAATTTCTGTCGCGTAAAATCTTCCAAAATTGAAAATTCGTTCAGGTTCGAACATTAATTTGAAAGATTTTTTGCACGTAATTACCAGGAAAATGCTGATGCTTTATATTTTTGCCAATGAATAAAAGTATTTTGGATGATTGACGTCAAATTCGAAGCCTTCAATGCCGTTTTTGAGAAATAAAAATGCAATGAATTTTTCCTTTTCCATCATGTATGAACAGTTGAACACCTCGAAAATTCAACCGTTGACTCGAATTCAGTGAATTTCTGTGTCCTGGATTATGTTTTTTCAAACTTTTTTTGTGTGTGCCTTCCTTGAATATTCAGAAGAAAAAGACAAAATGGAGATGAAGAAAATGCTGTTGGCAGCCTCCGTGGCGTGTTTGGCTTTGGCCTACGTGGCCAGCGGACGAATGGCGTATCAATTGCCAGCTGAGGTTGAAACTATTCTGCGGAGTCCAGTTGTGACGTCCTTTGATTGCACAAACAGGATATACGGGTATTATGCTGATGTGGACAACAACTGCGAGATCTTCCATGTGTGCCATCCGATCGCAGATGACGTCGGCAACGTCAGTATACATACGTGGAGTCGAGCGACACCTAGACTTTTTTTATAGTTTCAAACGTTCTTTGGGCTGTCCCTAGAGGCCTAGAGGTCTCTCGAATCATAAAGCATTTTTTTAAATAGACCAGCGACGCCAATTTTCGGCTCATTTCAGATGCCTGTCGCAAAATTCGATGAGATATTTGTTTTGCCAATTGTAGATGTCGCTTGCAGGCTAGAACGAATTAGTCGCTCGCAGTGTGGTGCTGTATTTAAATCAAGTGTAAGACTTTCCGATCTAATTGTTTTCTTTTTCAATCTTTCTTACTTCAGAGAAACTCTTGTCATGTTCAAAATTTAATCTTGCTACAAAAACATATTCGGTGGCACATTATTGCAAAAGAAAACTGAAATTGCAAATTATTATTTTAAAGTTTAACTGAAAGCAGTATAAGTCAATGAAGTAAAGTAGTGGGATTTTTTGAAAACGTTCCCCAGCAGTTCATTCTTTTGACATCAAGGATGATAAGTTCATTATGTGAGCTGAAAAAATTGAATCTTTGCTGAAGTCAAAATTCAAAGAGTATCTGATTCAACAGTATGATATAAAAACAATATCCATACAGCTGGCAACAGACTTTTTTCTTAGAAATTGCATCAAAAATTTTAACTGCAAACTTAGTAGATGTATGTTTTTACCACCATAATCATCCTAGAACAGAGCATAGAGTATTTTTTCCTGAAAACTTGAAGATAAACATTGTCATAAGAAAAGTATACTGTAGTATTGTACTGTAAAAGTATTTTGCTTCTCTTTAAATACTCCTATGGCTGGGAGGCATATTTTTTGCAATGCAACTGCTAAGAGAATCTGGTGACAAGTATCTGCACAAAAGCATGTGCTGTACAGTTTAAATATATCTCTCATGATGATTGAGCGTGACACCTTCAGACGTGGATGTAGACGCGACACCTATGCGATAACAAATACCAATCCGTATGTACCGCGCATTTTCAATTTTTGGATGCAGCTCGCAGAGATGGCGCAGTTCAGCTTCGTCTGCCCGAACCAGACCGTGTTCAGCCAAGAAACGTTGACGTGCGCTCACCCAGATGACGCTTTCCCCTGCGATCAGGCTCCTACGCTCTTCGACGTCGTGAACGCAGAGTTCGGTCGCATTCCTCAGCCCTGAGCGAAGACCTTTGGAAATATGTTTATTTCTTTTTATAGATTCTCCGCTCCTTCGCCCTTTTTTTTGCTTTTTGTTTTTGTTTCATTTTCCTCCGGTCATTCATTCTTCCTGTATACCAACACTTTTCGAAAGAGAAATCCATTTCCGGCGGAAAATCTAGTGGGAAAAAATTCGGAGAAATGACAGAATTTGACTTGCTCAACAACAACAACAAAGTCTGAGTAATTGAAAACATTGGCGGCGGGTTTTCTTTTTTAAATTCCGATGGAAGCATTCATTGTGTTGAACGGCGACAGCGATTTTTTTTTGCGCCATTTCAATCTGGCTTTTCTTTCTGTATTTTATTTTTTTTAAGTGAAGGATAAGGCGGAACTGAATTGTTCCTTTTGTACCAACTCAATGTGTTTCCTCGACCAAGTGGCAATGAATTTTATCTTGATACAATAAACGCATTGTTTCTCATTTGACTTGCATGAACACTCAGGCGCACCTTCGAAACGCGGAACATTATTCCCAACAACAACGAAATACCTCTCAATTTTTTATTTTTTGAAAAAGCGTGTTGCACGATTTTTTATGCTGTATTTTCGCTCAAAAACAATTCTGGGAAAAGCATATTTTCGATATTAAATCACGTAGAAGTACTTGAGTGAATTTGCATCTTGGCATCTTACCTCTCACAGTAAAGTCCAAGTAAAATACTTTTTTCGGAGAAGAAATGTGGTCTTCTAACTGGGAACTCATTGTTTATCTGCTGCTTCCTTAAATTTTTCTCGGGTCTCTCACAAACTGTAATCAAAATATTCTTAAACTTTATGCATAATCCGGTAACAATTTCGAGGGATATAAATTCAACATTGATAATAACTCGGAAATGCTTCCGTCATTTGATTTTTACTTGGAAATACAGTAATTTATTTAGCATTTCAAAATATTTTGAGGCGTAGTTATGTTTTGTAATGAGCCAGAAATTTTAAAATGAGTCGTCAAAAAATTGGACAAACCAGATAAATTTATAGAAAGAATATAATATGTATCGTTTTCCTTCTCTTATTTCTGCTGATTTTAATCATGATCAGGGTCAGAATTGCAGTTTTCTTTGAGTTTAATTACTTGGAATGGACCAAAGCGAGGCAGCTCCAGCATCCAGTGGAAACCGGACCCCAAAAACGTGTTGGTTCTGGAGGCCAGTGAGCCTCACAAAAATCCTGTTTTTGCGAGACTCACTGAGCCTCACTCAAGGACAAGAAGTGGTCATCACTTCTTGGATTTCACAAAATCAACCAATCCAGAGCCAGGAAGAAATCACCTGATTTCTTCCTGACCCAGTTCAATGAATGAATGAATGAATGAATGAATGAACAGAAAACTGTATTTGCCGCTTTTCAGCGTTCACAAGGCACAACCAAAACTCCCGCAGCCAAACCCACCCAACTCACCTCCCCCAAGACATTCAATCACTTCATATCATGAAACAAAGCACAAATCAATGACAAAAACAGAAGNGCACAATTCAATTCCTTTGTCTGGGATCCAATGGACCCATGACAGAAACTACTGAACTTGGAGTTTTGTTCATGTTTTTGAAAAAAAAATCAAGTTTTCGTGAGTGTTTCATAAATGTGTAAGCAACTTAGGCAGATTTAAGCAGGGTTTTGATGCCATCAAATTCTTGGTACTTTTGATTATGTTGATGCATTTTATATTATATGAGCATCAGGATTCTTGTGTTTTAATAGTGTATGAATCCTAGTCCTTGAAGAAACCCTAAAAACGTCTTACCAAACATTTTTTTCTGAAGAGAAGCCCTGAACAAAAATATTTTTCATCCTTTTCTATCCGTCAATTTTTTCTAGCAAAATTTATTCTTCAAGATTTTGAAACTTATTTATGCTACTCTTTTTAATGTTCACAACTTCTGAACATTTTTTCTAGTCTCATACTTTGAGAACATACCATATGCAAAATGTTATGCACGAAAGTTCATAGCATTATTGATGGTCTTCATTTTAGGATGAGCCTATCCCCAAAAGCAAGCACAGAATCATTTTTTTTAATGTGGAAATGCTATTACAGTATACTGTTAGTACTTTTCAGGAAATTCAGTGAATCAAATGTCCTTCAACATAGTGTTGTATGTACCTTAGTGTATAACATATTTAATTCAAAAGAACTGTGATTTCATTATGCAATGCAGGTTCTAACTTTTAATTCAACCCTAATCAGTTGCCAAAGTAAGGTTGATAAAGCAGTCAAATTGTGAGAAACTCCCTGAAATTCAAAAAGATCAGTAAAAGATGCAAAAAAGTGGCCAAAGCAGGTTGAACAGTGTTGAATTGCAAGTCAACATCCCTGCAAATTTGAGTATCAAATTGTGGAAGGTCAAATTGCAAGGTACCACATGTGTACACTAAGTGCTGCATGCTTAGTCACTTGTTAGGCAGTCCATTCAAACTCCTTCTCTGAAAGTAAAAATTAGATTTTAGAAAAAAATTAAAATGTGTAATGTCTGGTTTTTACCAATTTTGGATACAAGCAAAGCATTTCAGAAAATGCACTCCACAAAGCAATATCTCAGCCATGAAAATTGAAAGAACATAGGAAAGTTATGTTTTGTTTAAGCTTTGAACACTTTATTCCAACCTGACTCCAGATTCCAAAGTTTCTTCAAGTTTGGAAATTAAGAAATTATTTTTCTTCTGCTTTTCCAGCAAATAGTCTTTTTGTCCTTGGACAGTACCTGTGCTTCTTAATTAAAGTTTCTCCGTGTAGAAAAGATCATATTTAAGAAATCATGAAAAATAACAGGATAATTCAAATAAACTACAATAAAACAAGTATTTTTTCTTTTTGTTCAAAAGGAAGTGAAGAGGGGTATCTCCAGTGATTGTTGAAAGAAAAAAAAACCGTCCTTGTGTTGACTGATTTGTACTGAATATGAGTGTGATTCAAATTTTCGAAGAATTTTAAATTTATTATTTCAATTTCTTACTGTTGGATTTCTGGGTTTTCATGAAGGCAAATCCATGCACAATTTGGCGTGCAAAATTTAAATTATGGACAAAAAGAAACTTTAATTTATATATTCTTCTCAAGCATCATCATCAAAAGTAAATTTATGGGTTTTAATTATTGCAAATTGGGTCATAAAGCAAGGCAGCATTTGCATATGATGATTGAATGAGCTTCAATTTTACTTTTCAACACATTTGAAGACGCTGCTGATTGAAAATCTGTATAAAAATATTTTTGTCCACCCTGTACAATATATACATGTTGAACCTTGACAAATTCAATCCTACCTAATAATAAGTTGAAAAACTCACAACTTGGAATGCCAAATTCCATTGAATCTGATAAAATTTAAAGATATGTTATCAGGCTGGTTAAGGACGACAAAGGTAGGTAGATGAAAATGTGATGGTCAGCCATTAGGCAGCCAGATCCTCCAGAATGGAGTCCCTAAAAAGACCATTATGTATTTGTACCCAAAAGAAAGGAGGAAGCAGGCACAGATGGAGCAATCCTTGGACTCCTACAAAACTCTCAACAGGAAAATTCATAATACACACCCCACAAGCAGCAATAATTGTCAGGCAGTCACTTCTTCTGGCAGGCAAGAGATTCAAGTGAAGTTTTACTGTCAGGCAAAAATTCCATCTCCATTCTATTTTTCTGGTTTGCCACTGGTTTGCTGCATTGCAGTAAACCATCTGCACAGTGAGGATTTCTGCTGTGCACACATCTGCAGCCACATGCCCAGTTGGTGCTCTGGTAAAATCCTTTGCCTGTGTGGTGCCCTCTTAATTGGAACCCCACAGATGTAACTGGGAAATTTTCAAGTTCAGCCTGTCTGAAATTAGAAATAGAAATTAAGAAGAATGTTGGGCCAATATCGACAAATAATTAGGAAAATGAATTGAAGTCACATTCAGCCTTTAATGACTGGATCCTCCAAACAGGAGTCCCTTAAAGTAGCACGCTTTAATAGCAGACCCACAGGCAACCGCAGAAGGAATCTACAAGACTTTCACACACACTTGGAAACCTCAATCAGACAAGACAGATCTCTCAGCAGGAATAACCAGTAACTGCCGTCAGGCAATGCTCTCCAAGAAGTTAAGTCTTTGGGGACTTTGCTGGGCTTCCACCACCTTCCTGATCTTTATCATTAATCACCCGGTTTGCTGCATTGCGGTAAACCGGGTGCCAATCTGCTTCCAGGTCCGTGGGCTGCTATGTTGGACATTGGGGTGCCCAAGCAAGGATGCTATGCTTGGGTCATGCCATGTGTACGCGACCCCACAAAGAAGGCATGCAGACCTTTGAGCTTCTGAGAGAATCCAAATCCTTCAGGAATCTCATGGGACCAAGTTTGACCTCAAGTTCACAAGGTTTTTTCCACTATCATAGGGATTTTTGTAGCATTCAGTCCTAAGAAAGAAAATGACCCTGAGAGAAATGTCTTGTTTTGAACACTTCCTAGTTTTGCATCAGTCATGGTTTGTCAGTCTTGCGCAAAAGATGTCAAAGAATAATCCTGATCAATTGCATTGTGATATCTTGCTTTTTGTCAAATAAATCAACCTTACACTAGGGCGTAAAGCACCCTGGCTGAAGCCTGGCTGATTGCAGTTTATTTTATTTTCCTAAAAAGGTGTCTTGAATTCCTTTGATCCCAAAACACAGCCCTCCTTTTTTGAATTTTATGCCATTGAAATTTAAATTTAAGTTATTAAATTGCTATTAAATTACAGAAAAACCATTCCAGAGAAAAGAAACCAATGCATATGATTTTTTTTAGGCTCTTCAATCACAAGAGTTGGACATCTAACAAAAATGAAAAGTTGTAATACTAACCACGCTCTGCTACCAATTTATATTGAGCACAACTGGCCACAATATAAGTTGATGTGAAGTTGTTTATAAAATAAAATAAAAGATTCAGTCCAAGAATTCTTATGAGTTGAAAGAGGAATAATATGTATTTCACAAAAGAGTAAATACCACTTTATGAGCTTGGGCTTGTGAACAACTTGGAGTAAAAGCTAACACACACACCTTCAATTCTACTGAACTTCTTCTTGGGAGCAACTTATATTAATAATTAATTTATAGACCTTCACAAAGTTCTAACGACGGCGTGCATGCCCAACAATTGGGACAGAAAAATATTCATTGGTTCATCTACAATATATATACTGCAATGTATACAAAAATTAAGTCAAATTCCTTTGATCCATGAACTTTCCAAGTCGAGTTCTTCAAAGTCCCGTAAAATTCCCCTTGGAATAGGTCCAACTTATTATGCGCAAAAATGCATGATTGAAAAGGGGGGATTGCAAATTTATGAGGCCTTCATGGATTCGATTTTCAAACTGCTTGTCGTTTCCGGGTTTAAAAAAAAAAGGAGTAAGATTTTTCTTCGGGTTCACTGTAAATTCGAGCTTGAATTGAAAGATCCTTGAAGCGTTGATGGAGGAACTGTGGGCGATATCATCCGTGGAATTATTTATTCTTGGCCCTTTTGGTCTTTGATGATGGTGAGAAAGACGAGGAAACAAATACGCACCTTTGCCTGAGGCTTCTTCCCTTCCCGGGCTTCACTGTTGTGTCACCTTTGGTTGAAGACTGACGTGTGCAAGTTCATCTTCATTTCAATAGTGATCCCGACTCAGTCTAAAATAATGCCTATGCATGTTGTCTTTTTTTTTTTAGTGTATGCCTAATCGAAATGGACACCTTTTAACGTCGATGAAGCAATACTAATTCATTCGTATGGGTCACTTATTGCGCGTATCGCGGAATATTGAGCGAAAATTTATTGGGGTCTCGATTTCTATGTACAGTATTATTTAATTTCGTCTTCTTCTGCCAAATTTTGTGGGTTTTTTTCAACTGCATGTTAATTGTAATTGAATCTAATTTTTGCGTCGGAAATTAAGCGATTTATTTATAATCGCATGCAGCAGTGAAATCGTAAAATTTTGTTCATTTTAGGTACTGTATTTTAAAAAAAGGACATTTTTTATCCACAAACATCAAAGCTTATTTCACTAAATCCCTGCGGCGAACTTTTGAATTTTTCCAAAGGCATTTCAAGGTGTTTTCTTTGATTTTTGTTAAGTGTTATGATATATTTGTGTTAGAAAATATGCATCCTGCATCTGTTTCCCTACTAGGTGAGTTATTATTTCTCTTTTTGTAATACAGTACTCAGAAAGGACAGTTTCTCAACAGAGGGCTACATTTTTTTTAAATTCAAATCCAAGGTTTTTTGACAACCTTATTTTTAACAGATTTATATGACCTGCATGGCTCTGGTTCTGGTATTTTAAAATTGATTTCCATTTATTTCAATAGGATTCTAAGAAATTATTTTTAAAATGTGGAGGGTATTTAACAAAAATCTGGACTAATAAGAGCAATCTCTTTGTGAAAATTTGATATGAAAAATTTCAATATTTTGTATTGGGATTTGAAAAAAATCATTCCTATAAATGTGTTACCACAAAAAATCCCAGGATGTTTTTCCATTGTTTTGAAATGCAATCTACAAAACTAACTGCAGTATTTTATTATAGTCCCTGTAAGTGCCCTTAGAGACCTTCTGAAGAATTTTCAAATTTATTTTTAAAGAGGTTAATAGGGCTACAAAGAGAACACCTTCTCCTTTTGTTACAAGCAGCTTAAATTTTGAATTTTTTATTTTTTCAGAGAACTTGAATTTAATTACATAGGACATAACTAATTTTTCTCATCTCATTTGCTGTTTGCCTCCTGGAGACAGACAAATGAAGAGCAAGGATAAAGACAGCAGAGAAGACTCTTTTATTTCAAGCACACATTTTTTAACAATGTGTAATCCATGTTTAACATGTTTTGAATACATAAATTCTCATCAGATCATATAGGCAACTTACCCAAAATATTCAAAGCCTAGGTTTTTGTGTGCAAGCCACTTTAAAATACAAGTCTCCAAATCACTGAAAATTCTGAATATTATTTTTGCTCAAAAATCAGCTTCTGCTGCATATATAATTTGGAAAGATGTCCCAAAAAATGTATTTTTTCCCCAAGCTCAATTTATGAATAAAATCTCAAATATCTTCTGGATCAAATTTATTTTTCAATATAGCTACAGTCAAACCTTGATTTAGTGGCCCCCAATTTATTGTCACCCTTGCATAGTGCCACAAATTTCCCTGGTACAAATCTCCATCCCTTATATGTTCTTAAGGGAAACCCTGATTTAGTGCCAACTCACTTGGAGCCACACAAAAAACCTTTGCCATGTTGGGCAGAATTTACGCAATCAAGGCATTTTCCCAAGGATATCATTGGATTACATAACTTTCAACTGAGCCTTGTACATCCCCATACACGCATAAAATTCAGGATAATTGCAAACAACCTATTTTTAAAATCTAAATCAATGAAAAATATGTTTTTGCCTGATGCCCTCCTCCATTGAAAATATAAAAGAGTGGAAGCTTTTGTGGAAACATTGGTGATTCCCTCATGTTATTGGCACTTTATATGAAACTAACTCAAAGGCACACATCTTGAGAAACAGCTGTGATATTTTACTATAGATGTCATATGCTTAAAATGCATTCTGCCTTGATACATATCTTGAAATCAAATATTTATGAAGTATCTTTGAGCTTCAAATTATTTATTTTGGTTTTTTATCTTATAAAACACCCCAATAACTAGCCTAAAAGTTTTGTAAATAAAGTCAACCCCCACACAAAAGGCTTAATTTGTGGAAAGTCTGTTATATGCAAATTCAATTATTAAAAAATTCAAATTTTGACTTATTTTATACCATTGAATATGTTGATTTAGTCCATTGCGCAGGAGGGGAAACCGCCTTCAGAGGCAGTCTGTTGTGCAAAAATCTGTTGTGTGGGAGGTCTGTTGTGCTGGGGTCAACTGTAAGCTCATTTTCTTATAATGGAAACCCTGAACTGGACTTCTCTTCCATACAATACCCTCAATTTGGTGCCACCCTTCCTTTTAGTGCCACAAAATATGTCAGGACTTCAGGATGAGTCTCAGGACAAACAATGACACTAAAGCAGGGGTTGACTGCAATTATTTTTGTCATTATAGTGATTGCGGTTCTCATCGGCACTGGCTTCACGGGACCGTCACTCGCCGAAAAATCCTCATTATCCCGAGGGATCACCAATGAAAAATCCAATAATAATAATAATAATAATTACAGTATTGCTTTGACAAAGAATCGCGGACGCCAACCCCGGCAAAACGTGCCAAAACCCGGGTCACTGTCCAGGCCAACAATCCAAGTACCACCCAAACAACAGGAACAACGACTGCGGATTAGAAACGAGGAAGTGGATCGGGTTTTCAGCAGGAAAACCCAGGATTTCGATGTTGACGAATTGCCGAAAACGACAACGGAAAAGATTTCAGTGATTTCTAGGGCCATTGAAGAGAATGTCGTGGAACCCTTGGGTTTGTCTTCCGGGGCCTTCTCTTTATTCGGAAATGCTCAGACTACGTTCAGGTAACTTTTTTTTTTCTCTCCAGAAAACCCTTTTCTTTTGTGAGACGCTACCTAATTTTTTTAAATCGCTAATTAGTTTGTAAAATAAATGATTCCCTCGACATGAATGGGACTTTTCCAGGTAGACACTTCTGAAGAGCATTCTTCAAAAATTAAAAAAGAGAGGGAATTTCGGAACAAAAATGCTATTCTGATGAAATGACTGACTTTTGTGGAATTTTTATGAATTTTAGTAAATAAACATGATGAACATCACTGCCAAGAGATTGAAGAAAAAATCTTCTTTCTAATACTGAATAATGAAAAGGGATGAAGTGATGAACATATAGAACCATCTTCATCACTTTTCCAACAGTACTGTATTCATTTCAAAATTTGTGTCTCATAAATGAATGTAAAAATCGAAATTGTTTGAGTGATCGGTCACGATATTCCATCATTGAAAACGTCGTTATGAAATGGGAAATCCGAGTTTTCTTGACATTTCCTCAATTGACGCCTTCCTCAAGTAACGGTAATACAGTATATCTCAGGATTTTGATTGTAAAGATGACCGCGAAGTGCGAACCAATTTTATATCCGTATACAAGTAGCCAAACTTCTCAAAACGTAACAAAAAACTTGTTTCAACCTGAAATACTGTACTTGAGAAAATAATGTCCAGTACAGAACTAAATTAAAATTTGGAATTCACGGTGGCGAATGTTTTTCTCTCATATTCTTTGAATGTAGCTGCGACGGGAAACCATATGGATATTATGCAGATGTGGACAATGGCTGCAGGATTTTCCACATTTGTCAGTCTAGTTTGACGGAGTCTGACGCACCGGTCACTAGATGGAGCTTCTTTTGTGGTGGAGGAACAGTGTTCAATCAAGCCACCTTGGTTTGCGACTTTCCCGAAAATTCTCCGCCGTGCGAAACCAGCCCTGAGTACCACAAAGACAATGATGCCTTTTTCAAACTTTCGCCTTCGTGAATCGTGAGTGAGTGAGTGGAGGGAGGTTTCAAAGGTCATCGGAACTTGAACTGGATCAAAATTGTCCTCATTCTACGACTGCTCTGACTTAGG